CATTTCACCAACTATAACTTTATTAAAATAGAATAAAGTATAATTTGTTTTTTTAATTTATAAAAAATATAATAATAAATGTTTGACTTAATGACTGTTCTTTTTACATTCGGTTTCGGCGATTATGAATTAAATAAATTCTTGTTTGCTGGTTAAGGAGGTATGGTAGGTTTGGGGAATAAATTATCCTGTTGCCTCTTTTAGTGTATTAAAAACTTGTATTAACAATAAAAATGAATAAAGAAAATCATTTTAAATTTAATAATATTTAATGAGAGGCATTCTTGTAAAGATACAGCTGTCATGTAAATACCATAAAACCAAAAAAAAGTTCCCATTATTTTGTAAAAAAATGATTTTTTATTTATATGTATAGATTGACATTAAATTTATATTTATTAATAACTGTTAGTGTAAATTATATTGTAAGAATATATTATTTCTAAGGGTAGATTTTAGAGGTAACTTTCGAAAATTAAATGGGAACCTATGGAAAAGAAGTGCCTTACGGCAGGTGGGGATAAGGATATTATGGGTTTTTCGGCGGAACCTAACTCAAAAAAATACGAGACAAGTCGAGTAATGAAATTATATAACGAAAAAAAGCTACGATGTTCTTTATACATATCCATTAATAAATTCAAACGTTTAGTGTAAAATACATTTCTCGTTCTCCCTGTTCCTCACTGTGTTATCTTCTTTTTCCTATCCTACTCCGTTGCACCTTTATATATTAAAGATACATAGTTTTATATAAGCAATGTACATGTGTCATTATTCCATAATTCACATATGAATGTTCTTAATGTTTTGTTTACTTATTTTTTTTACTATTATAATAATATAATTAAAATATATTGTGTCAAATATTATGCAATAATTTTTTTATTTAATCATTTAAATCACTATTATTTTTCCTTTTATTTTATGTTAACTTTTATTTTTTAAAATACTGTACTTAAAAATCAATAACCAAAATTCAAATAGAAAGCAAAAAAATATAAATTAAATGACAATTAGTATTTTTTTAGACAATTGTGTTACTATTATTTTAGCCAAAGGAACTTTGTTCCTACAGGTATCCCACGATACCCGATTGGAACCGTAATAATACAATATTGGTTATCGACCAGTCAAAATTTTATTTAGACTATTCTCACTTTATGGTAAAAAAATAATAATAGATTTCCGCTTAACTTTCGAAAGTTACCCCTGAAATCAACCCTTAGAAGTAATTTATTTTTACAATAACAAAAGTTAGGAAAAATCAATTTAAAAATTTAATTTATAAATTTTAATGAAAAAAATCATAATTTATCGATAAAATGTGGGTTTATTTATAATGTAACTTTACGCAAATTATAAATATTACGAAATATCATTAAATAAATAAATAAAATACTATTATTCTATTTAATTGTAATTTGAGAAGAAGTAAAAACAATATTTATATGTTTTTACTATTCCTTAAGCAATAAATATTAAAGTATTTAAATTCTAAAATAATTTTTATTTTTACAGCGATGAGTTTTTGTCTTCTGATATACGGTTGACACCTAAGAGTTCTTATGTTTTAACTACTGCTGATATAATTGAAAATGACACAACTGACTTGAAGTAAATTTATGATTATAATTGCAATAATGTAGTTTTTTAACGAATTCGTCTTGAATAAAAATTAACTTAAATATTTAAAAATAATTAGTTTTCATTTTTGCTGTTAAATATTTTTTATGTACAGATTTCACGAAACTAAATATTGATAATTCATTTTAGTAGTAGTGTTTATGACTTACTAAATCATTATTATTTTTATTTATTATATTTTACGTTTTCTCCTGTAAAAGGCATACTTTTATTTTCATGTTTACAATGATTTACAAAAAAAAAAATAAGATATGTAAATAACTATCAAAAATTCAAAAATTGATTTAAAGCACTAGTATTTTTAAATATAAAAAAAATGAATAAACCATAGTTCTCTATAATGGTTTATAATTTTACCAATTGTAATTTCTTATAATTTTTAAGCGTGAATTTGACATGAAGCAAAAATTTCACATTTGGAAGATTTAAAAGAAAATTTGACGTCTTTCATNCGAAACAAAAATTTCACATTTGGAAGATTTAAAAGATAATTTGACGCCATTCATGCAATACTATGAAGTTAAATGTTGTGAATAAAACTGAATTTGGAAATATTTTGGAAGGAAGGATTCAGAAGTTTTGGACACCTTCTGAATACATACATAAATCTGAAATTTTTAAGAAACCCTCTATGAGAGTGATTTCATTAAATTAAAACTAATTTGTAACTATTGATAGGAGTCAAGATCCTCTTAGCTTCAATGCGTAAATTGATTTTATTCTGTCGTGCTTTTATTTTTTTGTCAGGCATTCAAAATTATCAACTTTAAATATTTTATTAAGGTAATTGTCTAATATTTTAGATAATTACCTTACTTTAACTTTTTTTTTGAAAGTTCTATCGTTAATTAAATTACTGGAAAAGAACATAATCATAATTTTTTTATCTTTTCAATTTTTGGTAATATTCTAAAAACCTTCTCTTCTTTAGATCTACATCAAAATAAAGTTAATACAGTTTACTTTTTAAAATATATCTAAAACATTTATTTACTTTAGTTAATGGTTTATCGGATCATTCTTTATAACTTATAAGGTATAAGGTGTCAACTTCAAACTTACAAGCCTACATCATAAAAAATTATCCTATTAAGAAAATAAATGGTTGATAACAACTTTAAGATTAGTACTTTGGAAGTTTTCACATATTTATACTTACGCAGGAGAAGGATTGCATTTGTTAAAAGTCTAATGAAACACAAAATTTATTAATATTTTTAGAATAATTTAAGTTAAACAACTTGCATAAATAAAAATAAAGTATTCTATTTCTTCAATATCGAATATCCTAATCCGATATTGAAATTTAATTTATCTAAATTACCATTTAGTAAAAATAATATTCAGCATATCACACAGACTTGACCTATAAAAAATAATAACCTAATGTAGTTGGGACAAGTATAGATTATATTTGACGGCGATGTAAATAACTATCATAAATACGTTTCCAAACGAATGTGTTAAATTTTACAACAGTTTGTAAATCTATAATTTTACGATTGATTGTTAAAAATATACTTTGTTGGAACCTCTTTCAATTAATTAAAAATAAAGCAGTTTTTTTTTTTGGAAAAATTGCCACAATTTTTTCTTTGATGAGCAATTTCCAATAAAACAATAGTTGGGGTAATATTTTTAAAATTTTGTAGATTGTTTCTAGAGAATTATTTTAGTTTATGTTAGAAAATGTAGAGTCCCAAAACTTAATCGAAATTCAAGTTAAAATTTTTTTTTTTTAATCCGTTGAAGACTTATTCAATCTATTCCTATAGTTAGGTTTTTCATTGAATTTTCTTAAAAATCATACAAAAAAAAAAACTAATTATCTCTGATATATTGTATTGAAATTTCATTGAGATCAGTAATAAAAAAAAAAGCTATAGCAGTTTTTTAATGCAAAAATAATCGAAAATGTTCACTATTTACGGTATTGTAAATTTGAGTTTTTTTTAATTTACAGTAAAGATTAACTACCTATTAAAACTCTAATCTGTTAATTGTTAATAACAAAAATGCTAATAATAATAACAATACGATTATGTACATTGTACATCACTTAATCTTTGTAGCCGAAGTTGGTTATTATAAAGATTAATAAAAAAAAAAAAAACAATATTTAAATAACATATGTATACTTCAACAGTATTTTATTGTTACAAATGATTACTATTACAAACTCAGCTAGTTGTTTAAACAATTAAGTATGAATAGTTTTAGTTATTAGAAGGGTAGGCATAGTGACTTTCCATTCACTTAGACCTTATAGTCTACTGTGCGTACTCCATACTAAATTTTATGATAAAAATCAGTTGGGTTTGAATTGTGATGTGCTTAGTTCTATGAACTTTGCCGTTTTCACTCTTGTTCGTACAGGATTTCTTTATTTAGACTCTGCTTTGACAAGAAAGCATCATGCAGAATATTTTTATTTTAGTCAGCAACAATACCTGTTGATCTAATGACACCTGAATTCTACTTTGCTAGTTTTGTTTCTCTTTTTACTAGTTAATGGTTCATCATAAGTTAATTTATTCCAAGCATTAAGGTTTTAAATTATCCAACGATCTTCTACAGAGTTTCATTGTTTTTACTCTTGTTCTTAAAGATTTTGCTTAATTTGATCCCTGATTTGTACAAGATTGTTCCATTTTTTGGTATAGTTATCCTGTTTCCATTGGAAGCTGAGAAAGCTACACTACAATAGAGCTCGGTACTATGGTAAGGCTATGTTGTGCCCGATACTATAGCGGTTCCCAAATGTCAACTTCACTTTTTGGTATACACCCCGTTGAAAAGCCTCTCTCATTTTTCATGGATGGTATTTTCTATTTGCAAGCAGGTATACTCAAAATTAATTACTTATAATTGTATATAAAAAAATATACAGAAAGATAATACTATCTATAATAAGATACTAACTACAAAAATTTTTTAAAAATTAATTCCACTCAGTATTATTAAAAGATAATACAAATGATTACAAGAAGATAAAATAAATATTATTATTAATACAATAAAGTCATTAAACAGAAGTACATTAATTATGAATGAATTGTATGGGATAAAAATAAGATGAAAAAATTATAATTATTAAACTTTATTACTTATTCACATTAAAATAAAAAAGTTCACTTTTAATTTAAGAATTAGTGACTATTTTACTTCCTTTTTCAATTAATAAAATTATTGTTACAAAGAATAATACTTCTATGACTTTATATTATTAAAATGTAAAAAGCACTTTTAAAAAAATTATGATATCGAAAATTTTCCAACTAGAAATTATATATGTCTTTACGTTTTTAATTTCTTTAAAAGTTTTAGTGCAGTGAAATATTTACTGTGTCATTTTAAATATCGTACACAATATCTGATCTTGTTTATAAAAATGTAATTTTTTCATTCTTTTGACCAAAAAAAATGTATAGAGCTGTTAGCATATAAAATCTTATGTAATTAAATAGATCATTTCCTATCTGGAAAGACTTGTAATCATAATTTTGTTATTTAAGTGCAATTCCATGTAATAGCGAAAATAATCAATTTTTATGAGATGTCTCTTAATAAAAAGCTTTTATATTACCTGCTTTTGAACAAAATAAAAATGTAATAAGTGATTGCTAAATATTAAAATATTGATAATTTTTAATTTGTTAATCAAATACTCAAACATTTTATTTATATTTTTTAAATGCGATATATCTGAATTATCTGTATAAAAATATTTATGATAAATTATTTTTATATAATAGTACAATATACGCATCGTAAGTATAAAGTAATGATTTTGATACTTTTAAATTAGGTTAACTGTGAATCTTTTAAATGCTAGACAATTTTTTCCATTAATTTAAAAGGTTAGAATTTCTAGGACAAACTCAGGCTTAGTTACATGGTATTTGAAAAATATTTAATTAATTTATTAATAATAGTATGATAATACATATAGTATTAAGTAAGTGAAGAAAAGTTTTGCGTGCGTTATCGTATAGTTTGTATTATTATTATTATTATTGTGATAATCTGACGAACGGTTTTTATTTAGCGGAGAAAAAACCAGTTTCCTAATAAATTCCTCACTATGCACAAATGGCAAAATTTCGTTTTATTATTTTATAGTTAAGCGACCTAAGTAGCCTTCTTCTAGTTAAAAGAAAAACACAGTCCCATTAGTAACAAAAAGGGCTTCTATTTTTTTTATTTTTCTTGATAATTGATCTTTATCCTTACTGGTTTAATACCCTGCATAACAAACAATTGTTATCAAATCTTTTAATTTTTAATTTTTTTGTTATTATGGAAATTATGAGCAATTTTACACTTTATCTATTGATATAATATAATACATAGCTTTTCAAATTCAAACATCGGTATATATTGTAAATTGTTCAGTGATAAGAAAATTTCTTTTGAACGCAACACGTTCCAGAACCTAATTTAATTTTTTAAAAAAGAACCCATTTTCGTTTTTTGTTTCATAATTTTTTAAGGAAGCAGTTTCTTGTGTCGTTCCTACAAAAAGAACTTGTTTCAGGAATCCTTTTTTTTTTTTTTGGAACAAATTTCTTTTTAATATCTATATTGTAAAATTTGAATTTAATTAGATATTTATATTATATATTAAAAATGATTATTAAACAATTTAATTTGATGTATTTTTTAGAAACATTTTATACTCTAATTTAATATCATTGAGACCTAAAGCTGCTCTCATTCTAACAACAGCTAGTAATGGAGAAGAATAATTCAATTTAAAGTTATTGAAAATAAATTAATATTGATAAAGTGTTTCTTTAATGATCATTAGAATAATTTTGCTTATAATGATAATGATTACTATATAAATTAATATCAATATGATATCAGCAGAGAACTTTTTTTATTGAAATATATATATTAATCATAAATGTATATATATATATACAATATATATATTTTTAATAACATAAGATATAACACATGTCAAAAGACAGTAACGTATCTACGATTTTTTTTGAATGAAGTTTTTCAAAAGCAAATTTTTTCTCTAAGTATTCTTCATTATATGCAAATGTTGTAATTTAATTAATTTCTAAAAAAGAATTTGATCTTATAATTAATGCAACTTTTAATGCTTTACAGTAAGATTAATACAAATTTTGTATTTAATAAAAAATTTATGAGCAATGTGACATTGAAGTGCTTTCAAGTATTAAGATAAATCAATTTAGTCCAACCACTTAAATTATATTATCATGAAAATAAATATTAAAAATATTTAAATTATTTAAGCAAAAATGATTAAATGAATAATGAAAATCAATTCATTAATCGGACAGCAACGTACACAGAGAATTTTATGTTAATTTATTAATAAATACCTATTAAAAGTTATACTATTCTACAAAGATGATTAAAGAAATCATTTTTCTAGTGTTAATATTAATCCAAATTATTAATTGTGAACTCATATATTCTGGTCAAGATGCATCATTTAATCCAGATTGGTGGCAAAAAGAAATAATTTATCAAATTTATGTAAGATCATTTAAAGATAGTGATGGTGATGGAATTGGAGATTTAAGAGGTAAATGACATTCCAAAAATTTTAAAAATGTAATTTAATATTCTCAAAATATTTAACTTTGGGTATTTTACACACAAAGTTAGTTGTTTTGAATATTCTACATTTTACTTTAAAATAATAAAAGAATATTGTAATTTATTTATTATCATTAAAATTTAAAGAATTTTACAATTATTGTTTTTTTCTATTTTGTTTCATTAAGAAAAATTACATTTGATTTACAATATTTCTTCCGCCGATATATGCTATTAGGTAATTATACTGCATTGTATGCTGACTTGTTGTTTTTTCATTAGGTGTTTTTGTTTTTAAATTCGTCCATGCTTATAAAGTTATATGACTTTGTTTAAATTCGTATTGATATTGTGTCAATGTTATAGTTAAGTGTTTTCAAAAAATTACACTCCCTACTTGTAGGAACTTTAAAACAGGCTTATAAAATAAAAAATAGAGAATATCCATTTTGTTATCATGTATCAATACCAATGTTATTATTTATGGGTATTTTTGTATGTATATTATGGACACGATTGTTATCTAGATAATTATCTATCAACAACGGTGTTCAATGTTAAGTTTTTAGACAATAATTTTTGAAGCAACTTTCTTCTTATAATAATTTTATTGTACACACCCATTATTTGAAACATAACTATTTATTCAAATTAAAATATAATAACTTTGTAATAATATTACTATGATGTGTTTGATTGTGCTTATTACCACAAATAATTGGCTATTACTAAATTACGAAAAAGATTACATATTGTAGCTAGTTGAAGTCATACCTTCATAGATTGAAAAAGTTATCGAGATTCTATGAAAATAAGGGAAAACCCTCAAAATATTATGATTTTGAAAATTAGTAGATCAGATTAAACATTTTAGATATCTTCCTTGTTCATCGATAATCTAACTCTCGACGTACTTGCATGGTGATGGGGTTCAAAATATTTAACTTTCTCTTTCTTAATTTTTAAAAAAGGTTCCGAAAACCCTTTATAATTTAAATATATATTAAATAAGTTATGTTATATACTTGTATTGAGTAAAAAAAAAGACTTCTGAACAGTGTTTTATGTGTAATCTATCAAAGTTAAAAAAAAGAAACGTTTTTTTTGTAAAAATTCAGAAAGTCTATTCGTATTTTATTATTAAACATTTTCTAGGGAAGAAATTATACAATTTAGTACGTATTTAAGTAATTTCATTGATGTATAATGGAAAGGTGGCTAAGAAACTTATTACATTCAATTTTTTTTTTATCTTTTATTACACATTGTCATTGAAGCCTTTTATAATAGTCATGTTAATGTCTGTCAGATTACAATCTATATTTAACTCAGCTACGCCACATCTTCATAGCAATGGTTCTTTTAATTTAGTATAATTTTTGAAAATTAGCAATAATATAAATTTCTGGGGCGTATTTTTTGATGCAGCCAGAAAAGAACAAGCCTCTATAAAAATCATGCGGTGACTTTTTTGTTATTTTTAAGGAAATTTCAGAAAACAAAAAAAAGTTCATTCAATAACACTTAATATAAATTTATAAAAAAAATTCCTTTAGGCCTATAAAAAAAGAATTCTTAATATCTACCTATAATAAATTTACATTCATGATGTTCCTATACAACATGAAAATATATCATGTAATAGCTTTATGGTAGATACAATTAAAAATCATAATCAATAAAAAATTATTTCTATTAAATAATTTTAGGTCTCAACAATTTCCATTTTGATGGGTTATTAAATAACTAAGCTTTTTTCTTTTATAAATTGAGTTTTATTGAACATTAAATTAAGTTAATAGTAGATCAAGATTTAATAAAATTTTAAAAATATTTTATGTATAAACAAGTAGATTATAGATTTGTATAGTAAGCTCAAACAATTATGTTTGTTGAAATTATAAATTAATTACTGTTTACCTAAAATTAAATGAAATTTCTGGTGGACTTAAACCATATATTTTTAGGAATAAATGAACAAGTAGAACATTTTTCAAATATTGGCGTTTCGGCTATTTGGCTNAGGAATAACTGAACAAGTAGAACATTTTTCAAATATTGGCGTTTCGGCTATTTGGCTTACTCCAATTTATCAGACTCCTGGAGTTGACTTTGGTTATGATATTTCAGACTTTGAAAGAATTGATGAAACTTTTGGAACAATGAGTGATTTTGATAATTTGGTTGTAACGTATCATAGATACGGTAAGCACTACAATGACGTGTAAAACAATCCAAAATAAACAAAATTTTATTGTTTTACTAGGAATAAAAATTATTTTGGATTTTGTTCCAAATCATACAAGTGATAAACATGTTTGGTTTAAAAAATCTGTTCAAAGAATAGCACCATATACAGACTATTATATATGGCATGATGGAATTAAAAATAGTGAAGGCAAAAGGATGCCTCCTAACAATTGGGTAAAATTAAATATATATTATATATTTTTTGATAATACATCTATTAATAATTATTAATAGATGTATTTTTATCAAAAAAGTAATATAAATATTAATTAATAAAAGTGTATTACGTATAATTAGTGATGAAAGAAGTGAAAAATTCAAAACAAATATTAGAAATTTACACGAGTATTTAGACTAAATTTTTGTTAGAAGTATTAATTATATAGTACAATAGTTTTATCTAACCGGTTTGGATGTGTGACTCATGATAAGATCGTTTATTTACTTATTTATATTAAATTACGTTTGTGAAGTGCTTAGTATTTACACGTATATTTATGATTATAATAGTTGGTATGATCGTTAACCTTAATATTTGCCGTGATTATTTGTTTGTTAAGTTTTGGTGTTAATATATTGTATATATATCAACCCAGTATCCCCATCTATTAAATCTGCTCAACATCTATTTCAAAACATAAATTAACAGATGATTTTTTTCTAAAAGGTGTTATGTACTCGTTGCGAAGTTTACATTATGAGGTTCAATCAATAAAAAATTAATTTCTAACCTAAGAAAACACTTCAGAAATAATTCTGCATAAAATATATTATCTCATTAACGACATTATACTACATAAAAAACAACATTTAGATCTTAAAAAAGATATAAACATTTTAATTACTAAGTTACCTGCCAATAATTTAATTTAATCCATAAGCCACGTTTGGACTTGTTTGAAAAATAAAATAGAGTCAAAATTTTGTAATTTAATCTTATCAATATCAAAGAATCTATTCCTAATCATAAATCAATTATTGGACGTAAATTAGGTTAAACCTAAAATTACCCTTTATTTTCGTTAGTCAATTAGGTAAAGAATCAAATAAGTCTAGACTTAATTCAACTGAAACAATTCGCTTAACATTGTAATCAAAAATATTTTTATCCAAGCTCCCAGATTGCATAAACATAGGAATAAGTTCTGATTTTACATTTTACCAGTAATTCGTTCTGCTATGAAGAAGGAAGGAGCATGATCATAGAAATACATCTACTGTAGATAATTAATAGTTTATATATGCATTCATAGAGATATAAATTTTATAGAAATAACTAATTAAAAGCGCAATTGATTATAAATGTATAACTTAGAATTTGTCTTATTTTATAATTAATAAACTTTTATATGGTTATTTACAAAATACTTGTGGTTTAAAAACAAAAATAAATATGCCGAGTTTAAATTATTTTGTAATTACTGAAACTTGGCTCACTTCTGAGATTAATGATTTAAAATTAGGTATGATAGACTATACTCTATATAATTTACACTAAAATTCTAGCAAAAGTATTCATAATATAAATGGTGGCTTATAGCTATACAATATTTCTTTAAATTACTTACCACTTCAAACTTAGATTGCGAGCAGTTGACAATATTAGTTACATCTTTAATATGTTACATTTTCACTATTGAAAATCTTTATAAGACAAAATGTGACTTTTATTTTGTCCGTGACAATTATTATCCTATAGATTTGTGTTCAATTGTAGAGATATTTTACCAAATATTATATGATACCTTCTATAAATTTATATTTAAAATTAAGAGCATTAAAAAACACATTTATAAATGATATAGTTAAAAGCTAAAAATTGTATATTTCGTAAAAAAACTTAATCATAAAAATTATAAGCTCCATATTTTATGACTAGTTCAAAAAAATTAGTTTGTAAATTTAGACCCGCAGGAAACTTTGGAATCTTCCAAAACTATGAAATCTATTAGAATCAATTTTGTCTAATATATTTAGTAATACGCTGTCATTATTTCACCATAGATTTAAATCTGAACTGTCTACCAAAATCAATATTTTACTTTTGTTGAGATTTACTTAAATCTATTGTAAATAATCATCAAGTTGACGTCATATATAATGATTTTCACAAGGCATTTGATTATCAATTTACAACTACTTTAATCCCTCGAAAAATTGCACATTTATTATTCCTTTCATCCAAATTAGTAAATGNCATTTATTATTCCTTTCATCCAAATTAGTAAATGCAACTATTTCATGCTCATGTTCTCGTTTTTATGAACTCATTACATTCCATGTACTCTCGCATTGTTAACTTTACATATTTAATTTTACTGTACAAATTACGGTCTAAATAATCCAATCGAATGAATGTTAAATAGAGTAATACAATAAAGTTGATATTTTTTAAGATAGTCTAACTGCCATTAATCTTATTCTCTTATTTTTAGTTTCAATGTAAAGCTGAGAAGGTATTGATTTTACTATGATGTGTTTATTTTATTTTGTATCTATCTCTACTTTTTATCAGGTCTCACTGGACTAATTTTTTTCAACGATACGTCAAGAGACCACAAATCGTATCTAGTTGAAGAAATTAACCCCAAAAGTTAAAAAAATCTATTAATAGTATTTGAGCCTTAAATGTCGTTAATTTTATATAAAATAATTAGAAATACGAGGAGTAAAAAATTATTTACACCTTAACACATAAACATATAAAATTTACAACTCATGATGATTCATCCACAA